GGTTAATCAGATGCTGGTGCTCTGCCTTACAGGGGAACAGTCTCCTAATAAGGTAGGTTATGTTTTCTCTTGTTCTTCAATTTAGCTTTTCCATTATATCCAACTTATGTTCTCTTCTTCAAGTGAAAACCTATGCTCACTTGTGCACTGTCTCAAGTGCTATTAATTGTTTCTAGTGTTGAGACAGAGGAGTTTGTTTTCCTACCTATTAAGTGCAAGGGATTTGATTAACCATACCCATTGCAGCTGGCGGAGTTACATGGCTCAAGTGGTATTGATTGATCATTAAATACTTCCTTGCTATTTTGAAGGAGATTGATGAAGATTGTCTTGCCCTTCAGGAGGTTTCTGTTTCTTATGTAAGTAGATCTTGTAATAAAGTCGTTTCGGATTCGCATCGTTCGGAGACGTGCCATGTAACTCCGACGTGCGTGTAGGACTTGATCATGTTTGAGGCTTCGGCCAGCTGATAATGAAAGGCAAGAAAGTAAAAAAAAAAATCCTTCCTTGTTATGATATGAATTGGGAGAAGAGGGAACTCACCACAAAAAAAAAAGGTGCGCCCCAGGAGTGTAAGCCCCGTTCCGTTAGTCCAAGAGGACCAAGTGAATAACTGTGACAAGTTTGGCCATTTGACCCAGCGCCGGCTCCCTGAATTGGGCTCCACACGGGTCTCAGCCCCCCACCGAAGCAGGGAGAGCCAGCTCGTGGGCCGTCCACGTCTCCGTGGGCGCATCGCTGCGCAAGGGGCCCGGGGACTTTCCAGGGCTGGTTAAAGCCCGCTCACCTCATCCTGTGGCGCGCCTTGACCCGCGGCCGCGTTCGTTTATAAGGACGGCGTTGTCACACTGAACTGGCGATACGGGACTAATCCTCCTGACTGGGAATGTGGCTTGCTGTCCACCTCCACCATGGGCTGAAGCAGCTTATGGGCCGGTGGCGGACGCTAACCGCCCCTAAATTCCCGCCGTTTGTTAGGGCTCTTCCTCAACCCTTGCCCAGCCGCCGCCGCCGCGTCGCCGTCTCCGTCTCCGTCACCCCCATGGCTTCCAAGGCGACCTCGCGCCGCCGGCCACGGCGGGGCTCCAAGGGCCCCAACGCCGACCTCTGCCGCACCCTCACCGACTGCACCCGCCGCGGGGACGCGGCCGCCGCCATGGCCGCCTTCGACGCCGCCATCTGCGACGCCGACGCCCCTCCCCGCCTCGCCGCTCACCAGTACAACCAGCTCCTCCACCTTCTCGCCGCCGCCGACCGCTCCTCCTTCCCCGGCCCCGCCGCCGCGCGCCGCGTCTTCGCCCACATGCTCCAGGCCGGGGCGCCGCCCTCCGAGGCCACCATCACGTCCCTCGCGCGCGTCACCGCCGCCGCCGCCGACACCGCGTCGGCCGCCGACGAGGCGTTCGAGCTCGTGGCCACCATGAAGGACAAGTACGGCCTCTCCCCGCGCCTCCGCTCCTACGGGCCCGTCCTGGCGGCGTTCCGGCGTGCCGGGGAGGCCGCCAAGGCCTACGCTGTCGAGGCGCACATGACGGCCTCCGGCGTCTCGCCTGAGGAGCCCGAGCTTGCCGCGCTCCTGGATGTCAGCTTCAGAGCCGGGGATGCGGACAAGGTGTATGAGTATATGCATAAGCTGAGGCAGACCGTGGACTGCGTCAGCGAGGAGACTGCGGGAGTTGTGGAGGCCTGGTTCAGGAGCGACAAGGCGGCGATGGCCGGCAAGTCTGAATGGAATGCAGCTCAGGTGAAGGACGCCATTGTGGCCAACGGTGGTGGCTGCCACCGCCTTGGGTGGCTTGGAACCGGCCCTTGGACGGTGCAGCGGGTGAGAGTTGGGGCTGATGATCACTGTGGGGGGTGTAGATACCACCTCGCTTGCATTGACATTGACATGGAGGCGACACAGAGGTTTGCTGATTCTGTTGCTGGTTTGGCCCTCGAGAGGGAGACTAAAACAAATTTCAGCCGATTTCAGGTGCCCTCTCTCTCTCTCCCATTGCTGTGATTACTTATCTCTCAACTTTATATGGCACCATGGCTAAGGTTGGCATTCTGGTTATTTTACTGCCAGCTATAGTTGATTATTCTTTTGCTAAATCACAGAGAATTAATAGTATGGGGAAAATGGACTGGGAGATAATGTGTTCTACTATCTTTTAGACTAACTACTAATGGTAATCTGATGTGTGCTTTGAGTGTGTAATGTGATCGTTTCTAACTGCTTGTTCATGTAGCTGATCCTAGATCTTAGTTACTAAACTAAGCTGTCACTTATAACTTCTGTTGTAACTTGTAACTATGGCTAGAGACCTTGCTTAAAGAACTTTATTTATTAGTTTGCTCCCTGTATTAGAAACAATATCCATTTGTGAACATAATCTCACATGTTGAGTGTGACTGTTATAGGAGTGGTTGGAAGCAAATAAAGAATATCAAGCTATAGTCGATGGTGCGAATATTGCACTGTATCAACAAAATTTTGCAGAGGGCGGTTTCAGTTTGACTCAGGTCTGTGCACCACTTTACACTGAATTTTGACATGTTCATGTTGATAATTAAGCAATTTGTGTTAATTATTGTTCAACTGCTCATGCTTAATATAGAGCAGCTGGATGCCGTTATAACAGAGCTACGGGATAGATATCATGGGAAATGGCCACTTATCATACTACATAATAAACGAATTTCCAAGCTTATGGAAAATGCATCTAATAGACATTTGATTGAGACTTGGAGAACAAATGGGGCTTTGTATACTTCACCAAGTGGGTCAAATGATGACTGGTAATGCTCAGTTTCTAGCCTTCAGTATATCTGAACTTACTGTTTATGCTCAATTCTCAAAGACAATGGAAAGACCTTGCTGCCACCTTGTCTAGTAAACTGGGAGGTGTTTCCTGTTTATGCTGTAATTCTGCAGAGATCGCAAACATCTACAATAACATAGTTTGTTGATTATTCACTTTTCTTCATTGTTATGTTTCCTCCTGGATGTTTCTAATTATATGAGATGCAAACATGCAGGTATTGGCTATATGCAGCAATCAAACTAAATTGTTTGCTTGTGACCAATGATGAAATGAGAGATCACATATTCGAGCTTCTAGGGTCGTCCTTTTTTCCAAAGTGGAAGCAATGTCATCGGGTGAGCTCTGCAAAACCAATCATATAGTGCTATTTCTCTGTGCATGGTTATTACACAGAAAGCCTGGTTCTAGAAACTTAGAATACTACTACATAGTTTGAACTAAAGAGTGTAATTAATCCTCTCTTAACCTGCTCCATGCATTGGATTTTATCTTTTACTGTTAATTGTTATTTCTAAACTCTGTTACAATTGCGCAGGTAAAGTACACCTTTAATAAAGGAAAAGCGGTACTTGTGATGCCACCCCCTTATTCTTCAGAGATTCAAGTAAGTAGTCTATTTTCAGGTGTTTTCTAGAGCTTAGTATCTGCTGTTGCTCATTTCGTCTTCATTGCAGGAGTCACTAGTGGGATCTTGGCACATTCCGATGGAAGAGAAGTCTGGTGATGAGAGAGGTAGGATTTGGCTTTGTATTGGCAGGGGAGGTTCCTGCAAAGAACATGGTGAAGTTCCCACAACTAATGGAGTTGTCCACGAAATTCCTCCAACTGAGGCATCTAACGTGGTGCAGCAGAGGCTGGCAGAAAATAAGGATGAGTCGATAACTGGTAAAAGAAAGGATAGAGATTGATCACTTATAGAGCAGCATCTACCTGGGAGTTTGTCATCTTGTGAGCAATTGTGGCGAACTGCGTTTCTGCAGTCTACTTTGTTGTTGATTCAGCTGAGGCAGTTCAAGAATAGGGATGCAGCGATAGTGCCGTCCCAGATCTGCAGGATGCTGATAATTATTAATCAATTTCACTGGCTTGCAGACTCGCATTCTCCACATCGGGTGTGATTTTAGACAATTTTGCTGCGCCATGTATTCTGGTTGCATCCATGATCATCTAGTGTAACACCAGAATACTATATAATCTCAAATTGGCTGTTCCTTTAGCTTTTACCTCTCCAGTTAATGAAAAGGTGAATTTTATTCTGGATGTATGGTAAACATTTCCAAGTGCATTTTTGAGCTGCTGTACCGTTTAGAAACTTGTATCAGAATGTTACCAAGGCAATTGATGTTGTTCTCATGCCTGGGATTCTGAGGGCAAATGCACGTTTTTCCGAGGTTAGGCATCCGTGCCTAGCTATAGCTCCAACTTTCTATTTCCTTATTACATGTTTGCTCTATACCAGTGGAGTATTTTTCTATGCCCGGAGTGAATTTCTTCGTTGTGCATAGCAAGGCTTCGTCTTTGTGCAAACTAAATTTGGACAATAATAGGGCGTGCTGGATTTTGGATCGGTGTTTCGTATTTTTCTTTGTTTCCGAAATGTGTCATAGCAAGGCTTTGTCTTTGTTTCGTATTTTTCTATAGCAGTGGACTGTTTTCCTTCGTTGTTTGCTCTTGGGCCTTTCCAGAGTGCTTCGGGCCTTTCTCACCGTCTCTGTTACCGCCCCTGCTTCAGATTTCTTCTGCTCCACTCCACACGAAGACACGAACAGCTTCAGTACTTTCGTCGTTGATCTCGGCTCAGGGTCTTGCCCTGCTCTTGTTCTGTGACAAAATGCTTGTAAAGGATGCTTCCGTTGTTCATTGGCATGTTTGAATAAGGTTTGTTTGACTTTGGACAAAACTGGATTCCTTATATTTCAAGACGGAGGAAGTACCTTTGTTTTTCTTGAAGACATCTTGAAAATCACAACTTAGGTGATCCCTGTCATCATCCATAATCTCCTCCATTAAATCACCACAAAAGTGACCAAGAGTCAGATTTTCTAATTCATCGCCCTCCTTATAAACTAAAAAATCAGATCAACTAAAAAAATCAGAATCTGTGTTTGATAGATTGATACTATGCTTGACAATCATAGTTCTAGTTTCCATTAATTTATTCAAACATAGAACAATGATAAGGATTTGGGCTTAAAAATCTACATTTAACTTCCTATCGATATCAGAAAACATCTCGAAAAAAGCTTTGAAGTGTCTGTATGTTGTGTCCACGTCTTCTTTACCACACATTTCTCGTACACTGCAACCAATGCAAAATAGTAAAGTTAGTATACAGTGCTGCAAAATTCCTAGGTCTAAAAGAAAAGCAACAATGGCATGAGATATTTGCCAACCTAAACTATTCTTTCGGTTAAGTTTACTAATTATGCATTTATATGTGTACATATGATTCAGAAGTTGTCTATAAATACAATTACAAAGAACTGTTTCTATGAAATGTTAAATGCCTGAGCAATACCTATGCATCGAAAGCTGAGGGATACCACAATCTACAGTCCGTATGCCAACACCAGAAGCAAGTATGGGTCCAATGGTGGAGCCACATCCCATATCATTCCTTACAACAAATTCCTGTGTGGTATTTACATCAGTCAAATCACTCCAAAAACCATCAAGTGAAAGGCTAAGTGATTGTGTTATCATCTTGTTTCTCTAGTATTCAACATTTTTATAGGTGTGTATCAGTGTATCATGAGCAGTAGATGATAAAACAAGGAAAAAATAATATCAACATTGCCTCTGTTTGCTAGGCGTGTCCATACGTTCAAACTTCAAATATAACTGGGGTTATGCAATAAAAAAAGTGCTAGGAGTAACCACGATACAAAAAGCTAAAGAGCACCTGAACCGGAAGATTATGAATCCTTGCTATTTCTTTGAAGAGAAAAGCTGTAACAGCACTTGTGGCATAACGTTGGTTAGCATTGTGCTTGATGACAAGTCCCTTCTGTAGTTCTGGTCTGTGGCACTCTTCATGCTTTTCGGCATAGTTTGGGTGCAGAGCATGAGCCATGTCCGCCAAAACTGGAAGTGTTGATAGAATTAAGCTAGAGCAAGTAAGGTCGATAGAATTAAGCTAGAGCCCTACATGTTCAAATCTTACCAAGGAATGAAGAATGTATTGCACGTTCCAAAGCTCCCTCCCCCATCGACTGATGCATCAAGGAATCGATGATTCGTCTCATAGCCTGGAACATGGTTGGTGCACCAGCCCCTTGCATTGAATCTGAACCCACCTGAATATTGCAGGAATGAACATGAATATCAAATTACCCAGTTAGAAAAAAAAATAGCATTCCCTGGAATACTAGTGTTCTGATTCTTGCTTATGGCTAGTTCAATCAAGCATAAGCCACCATACATAGGATCCAACTGAGGATCGGGAATCTAGAAACGTAAGCATATATTTTTCACCAGCTGGGTAAAATTTAATATGATATGGCTCATGTAGAGCAGCACTTTTGTGTATACAGTGTACCTCCTCATTATCGAACATAGCAACCATTCTTATGGCCTTCTCATTGGATAATTGTTCTGCCATCTTGGAAGAGTCCATGAGAGATCTGAGAGCACAATAACATGAAGCAAGATTATCCAGTCTTCCAGAATAGATGAACTCATTGTTTCCCCCACCAAGGCAACTAGGCTGGGTATCACATACATTCAACTCCATACCAATTATTTCATCTGAGTCACAACCTATTTCCTCTGAGAGAATCTGTGGAGTACAGAGATAGTAAAAGATATAACTAGAAGCCATCTGTAACATTCACCAACTAAATTTCCGTACAGTATGGGGAGAATCCCAAAAGCAAATATGAGAAATTGGAGTTACCTGCAAAAGTAGTGGATGGTGGGTGACTTTTGTAGAGCTAGAGCTTTTGTCATCAGAATTTGTAGTGTCTTCATGTTTTGTTGCAAGAAGTGGAACAAGATGAGTCTCTAGGTTAGGCTTGAACCCATCAGTATTCACTGTGCTACAATGAAAAGGAATTCATTCATATAAGGGGAAAGACCATGTTTTTTTAATAAACCGAAAATATTAAACAGTAAGGATAACACCAAATAGTATACAAAGGTAGATCCTGAGGTGCATGCTAAAGGAAAAACAGAAACAATGCTGCCAAAGGCAATTGTTTCATTAAAAGGAAAAACAAAAACTGAGATAAAGAAATATATGCTACAAGACATAGAAGGGACAACGAACTACAGAAATATTCACTTATCGAGAGTTTGAGACTGGCAAGAGAAATGGCAAGGCATAATACAGGATGCCTGGTAATTATTACAAGATTTACAAGATAGAGCCGAAGCACTAGCGGCTATAGCACAGGAGACGGAGGAGGTTGAGATGGAGGTTCCCTCAAGCTTAGATGCAAAACCGGTGTTGTTGCGTCTGTGATCCATGTATTGTAGACTAGAGTCAGCACTGGCCGATCTCGTAATGGTGGAGTTAGGAATGCCTGGGTTCGTGATGAGTTCTTGGGAAAGGTGGACTAAATGTTGTTTGGGAGCTGGTGGTGGCGAACTTAAGCCTATAACAGTTACACAACTTATTATGTAATAAGCCTATGTAGAACCTCAAACTGTAGCGCCCCTCACGCATGTACCGGCTGTTTGCTACCTTCTTCTTATTATAAATCAAAGCCGGGAAACCAGATCTTTCAAAAAAAAAAATACAAGATAGAGAAGTAACAAGATGAGCATGAGGACTAACCGGTTAAGATGGATAGCCAGCGTAGGTACACGTATCAGCGGCCTGGTGAGTTTGACAAGCTTATGCTTAAAGGAACCATCTGTAGCCTTGAGGATGACTCTCCCAGCCAAAGTTAGATCTCTATCGAACCATGTATGCCACAGCCCACTTCCGTACGTCTGCACATTGACCATCTGGTGGCCAGATTTGATGGTGGCAGACCTGGGTTTGAGCTTGAGACAGGGACTATCAGTGTGGGCTGCGATTATGTTGAAACCGTTCCCAACTCTGTACCTGCAGTGGGTACGAGTGTAAGCTGAAATCATATTCATTCATATCGAGTGGCAGGCAATTGACACACGTGATATGATATGAGTAAGGAGAGAGCGAGGTGTGTGACTGACTTTTCCCCGATGGCAAAGGCGACCAAGCAGGACATGTTGCGCGTGAAGAAGTAGCGGCCGCCGGGCTGAAGGTCCCAGTCATCACTCTCGCTGAGCAGCTTGAAGCCCGCGTCGAGCAGCTGCCTCTTGGCCTCAGCTGGAAGCACGGAGAAGGAAGTGAGAGCGTGGCGGTAGCGGAATGCGTGGCGCGCTAGCGAGGAGTCATATCGCCGAACAGTGGGCGGGCATGAGGACGACGAGGGGACGGGGAAGGGGAGCGGCCTGCCGACGAACTTGTGGCGTGGAACTGCGTCCATGACTCGTTGAGGTAGTCGAGGAGGCCGGCGACGATGGAGGGCAGGGCGGCGGAGGCGTCGTCCGGGGGCGAGGCGGGGCGACTGGAGCAGAGGAGGCGCGAGGAGGGGAAGATGGCCGCGCCATAAGCACGACGTGGTGGAGGAGGAGAGAGCGGAAGGGAGGGCGGGGTTGCGGCGGGCGGGCAGCGGAGGCCTCGGGAGGTGGAGGTGGAGGCGGAGCAGAGCCATGGACGGCACCGGCTGACCAGTGTGTGGGGGGGTGGGTGTGTGTGTGTGTGTGTGGGGGGGGGGGGGGCGGACGCGCGGCGCGACGCGGCGTAACAGAAGGTGGCGAGTGGAACTGTGAAGAGATGACGACGGGGGCTCAATGCAACAGGCCAACAGCCCAAATAAACCAAGTGGTTTGTAAACGTCCAGTGCGTGGAAATTTTGATTCGATCAAATTTCAAGTAAATTTGAATTGGGATTTTGAAGTCATTCCATTTATCCTGCTGACGCCACCATGGAATCGAGCTTGCTAACACAGGGTGTCAAGTTTGTTGCGTAGCCAAGTAATATAGCTAGGCTATAATAGCATCTCTATTTTCTTTGCGTGCTTGTCTTCCTTGCCGCCTGCACTCTGCTTAATCCCATTCCATCTCTTCGTCATCCAATTAACCCACACGCAAATTAATCACAAAATCAACCATCATCATATAGGTAATAGGTTTTCCATCACTTATAATCAGATTTCTTGCAGTGGCTGTGGCTCACTCCATTCGTACAAATAATTGGCTCCATTCGTTCGGCTGGCTGAAACTTGGTTGAAAAATACTGTTCCAACTGGTTTGTTGTGAGAGAAAAACACTGTTTGGCTGGTTTGATGAACAGTAATTTGAGAGGGAGATTCAGCCAGCTGGCTGGTCTTTTAAGACCAGCGAACGCGCCCAATTTCTGTAAATATGATTGCTCGAGGTTTCGCCACTTACCGTTGGATGATCGACTTCGAATATGCAGGTACAAATAATTTTATTCTTACAAAAGCTCCATGGTTCCTGTTGGAATTAAAAGTACAAGAGAAATGTATACAATTACATTTACCTATCCGTTCCTTAAAAAAGGCATTCGTCTGCAGGTATGCTCAATACCGCGCTGGTGCTTCTGCTGGCCTCGTTGCTCCGGCTGGTGTACCAGCGGGCGATCAGGCCATCGCCGCCCAGGATCTGCGGCGCTCCGGGAGGACCGCCGGTGACGGCGCCCAGGGTGAAGCTCAGGGACGGGAGGCACTTGGCGTACCTGGAGACCGGCGTTCCCCGGGCCGCCGCCGCCCACAAGATCATCTTCGTCCACGGCTTCGACTCCTGCAGGCACGACGTGCTCCCGGCGTCGCAGGACCTACTCCGGCGCCTCGGCGCCTGCGTCGTCTCCTACGACCGGCCCGGGTACGGCGAGAGCGATCCGGACCCGTGCCAGACGGAGCAGGACCTCGCTGACCAGCTCGGCCTCGGCGACAGGTTCCACGTCGTCGCCTTCTCCAGGGGCGGGCAGGTCGTGTGGAGCTGCCTCGCCCACATCCCGCACAGGGTCGCCGGCGCCACGCTCGTGTCGCCCGTAGCCAACTTCTGGTGGCGCGGCTTCCCCGCGGCGGCGTGTCCAGGCGGGCGTACGCCGCGCAGCTGCCGCAGGACCGGTGGGCGGTCAGCGTGGCGCGACACGCGCCGTGGCTCGTCTATTGGTGGAACACCCAGCGGTGGTTCCCTCCCTCCAGCCTCATCGCGCGCGACCGCCGCGTCTACTCGCCGCCGGACCTCGACGTCATGTCCAAGCTCGCCGCCGCCGCGGGGCCGCGGCGCCGCCCTTACAGGGCGGAGGTCAAACAGCAGGGGGTGTTCGAGGCGCTGCACCGGGACATGATCGTGGCGTTCGGCGAGTGGGACTGCAGCCCGCTGGAGCTGGAGCTGGGCAACCCGCCGCCCGGCGAAAAGGAAGTGACGGTGCACCTGTGGCACGGCGCCGACGACCGTGTAGTCACGCCGATCATGTCGCGCCACATCGCGCGGCAGCTGCCCTGGATCATGAGGTGCCGGACGCCGGGCACCTGTTCATGCTCGCCGACGGCATGGCCGACCGCATCGTCAAGTCGCTAGTGCCGGGGGAATAGAGGAGAATTCCCTGCACACCATTATAAAAGATACAACTTCCTTATACGACACCAGAAAAGTTTATCTTGCTTGTCGACCACCGGTTCACAAATTTCGTCCGCTATGTACCACTGCCGTCATCCTGTTAGAGCACCGTTGGGCGTGGTGTCAGTTTTTTGGATTAATGGCCATTCTACCCCTACTTCCACTACTTCCGTGTTATAGTAAGCCCAGGGTACATCTTCTATTTTAGGAAGTAGATTAGTGCACGGCACGGCCCAGGGCGTTGGGATGGCAGCGGCTGATCACGAGCGTGCTGTGATTGATTCAGTCAATTTGTATCCATATATACTGCATGTACTTTGCTTAAATAGAGATAGCAATCAACAAGAAACGCTGCCGCTTTGCAGCACAAAATCATTGTGTCCAGTTTGTGATCGCGTGTGTCATCCTCCTCATCGGAGTTCTGTCATTTGGTACCAGAGCCCCATGTCGTCAAAGTCTCCAACCAAGGAGACCGGTGACGGCTCCAGCGAGAAGAAGTTCCAGCCGTCACGTTCGCCACCACGTCGCCGTGGCCGCTCCCACAGCCATCGCTCCGGCTCACGAGTCGTCGAGCGCATCATCGAGCGGCCGTCCGCGAACATCGCGTGGCCGATGCTGACCCGGACTAATTATCCAGAATGGGCCCTGGTCATGGAGGTGAATTTCCAGACCCTCCGTGTCTGGGACGCCGTCCACGACGGCATCTCCGACGACCCCGACGAAGACGAGTACCACGACGATCGTCAGGCGATGGCAGGCCTCCTGCGCTCGGTTCCCTCCGAGATGTGGAGCACCCTCACCCGGAAGTGGACCGTGAAGGAGGCGTGGGACGCGGTCAAGGTGTTGCGGATCAGGGACGATCGCGCGCGCGACGCCAGCGCGCAGCAGCTTCGTCGCGAATTCGGCATCCTCGCCTTCAAGGAGGGCGAGAGCGTCACCGAGTTCGGGGTCCGCATCACGACACTCGCCACCAACCTCCGCACCCTCGGCGACAATATCACGGACGCCGAGGTAGTGAAAAAAATGTTGCAGGTGGTGCCAGAGCGACTGTCCTAGGCTGCGGTCTCCCTCGAGATGTTCCTCGACCTGAACAAGGTGTCAATCGAGGAAGTCATCGGACGGCTGCGTGTGTTCGAGGAGCGCGTCAAGCCCAAGGAGATCACGGACGCCATGGGGCGCCTGATGCTCTGTGAGGAGGACTGGGAGGCTCGTCGCAAGGCTCGCCATGAGCACGAAAGCTCCGGTGGCAGCACAGGCTCCAGCAGTCGCGGAAAGCGCCGAGGGCACGGACGCGGACGTGGCGGCGAAGGATCCTCATCGCGGGATGGCCGTGATGGCCAGAACGCAAGCGCCGTGAACCCCGGTGGCAGGAGGCCACCACGCGGCAACCGCTGCGACAACTGTGGCAAAATAGGCCACTGGGCCAAAGACTGCCGCGGGAAGAAAAAGGGCACGGCCCATGTGGCCCAGGCCGAGGAGGAGGAGGAACGGGCCTTAATGTATATCGCCGCGGAGACAGAGGTAATTGGGCCGCCCGTGTCCATTCCCCACTCCAGGTCACCGCCGCCGCCAGTATCCATTCCCCACTCCAGGTCGCTGTCGCCTACCGTCGATCCACAACCCCGCGTCCACCTCGTCGAGCGAAAAGTCCTCCTCCACCTCAGTGAGGAGGAGAAGGAGGCCGTGGGACCGCGCCGCTGGGTGCTTGACACCGGCGCGACGAACCACATGACGGGGACACGGAGCGTCTTCGCCGAGCTAAACACCGCCGTCACTGGAACCGTCTGGTTCGGTGACGGGTTCGTGGTCGACATCGAGGGCAAGGGCACCGTCCTCTTTGCTTGCAAGTCCGGCGAACATCGCCGGCTAGATGGGGTCTACTACATCCCACGTCTCACCACCAACATCGTGAGCCTCGGCCAGCTGGACGAGGACGGCTTCAAGATCGACATCGAGTCCGGCATCCTGCGCCTATACGATCTGCATCGTCAACTGCTCGCCAAGGTGCAGCGCTCACCAAGCCGTCTCTACTTCCTCAACATGAACGTCGTCGCCCCAGTGTGTCTCACCGCTCGCACCGACGATGTCTCCTGGCGGTGGCATGAGCAGTACGGGCACTTGAACTTCCAGTCGCTGAGGAAGCTAGGGCGTGAGGACATGGTGCACGGGCTGCCCGCCATCGAACAAGTCGAGCAGGTCTGTGAAGACTGCGTCCTGACGAAACAGAAGCGCACGCCGTTCCCCCGGGCAGCCAAGTACCGAGCTTAGGAGGAGCTTGAACTCGTACATGGAGATCTGTGTGGACCAATCTCGCCGCCAACCCCAGCCGGCAACCTCTACTTCTTGTTGCTGGTTAATGACATGAGTCGCTTCATGTGGCTCACCCTTCTACGCTCCAAGGCAGACGCACCGGCGGCAATCATGGCATTCCAAGCGCGCGTCGAGCACGAGTGTGGGAAGAAGCTGAAGGTACTTCGCACCGATAATGGTGGTGAGTTCACCTCGGTGGAGTTCGGTGAATACTGTGCAGGTGAAGGAATCCAGCGACACCACTCGGCGCCGTACACACCTCAGCAAAACGGCGTCGTCGAGCGCCGGAACCAAATGATCGTGGGCACAGCCAGGAGCATCCTGCGCGCCCGCGGCATGCCCGGGCGCTTCTGGGGGGAGGCGGTCCACACCGCCGTGTTCCTGCTCAACCGAGCGCCGACGAGCGCGCTCAATGGCCTGACCCCGTACCAGGCGTGGTACGGCAAAAAGCCACCTGTGCACTTCCTCAAAGTGTTCGGGTGCATCGCCTACATCAAGCGCCTCCGCCCACACCCTAGCAAGCTCGACGATCGGGGCCAGAAGGTTGTCTTCATTAGGTACGAGAGCGGATCAAAAGCATACCGCTTCCTCGACCCCGCCACAGAACATGTCCACATCTCACGTGACGCTGTCTTCGACGAAGGCGCGCGCTGGGAGTGGACCGAGGCGTCATCAAGCAGCAACCAGGAACCGTTCACCGTCGAGTACGAGTACGAGCTCAGGCGGGAACCCTCAGCGACATCGACCGTGAGG